TCTCTTCTGCTCACGATCCAAAGTTTACGTTTAATTTTGTCTAAAGTCAAAAAATATCAGAGAATTTATTTTGTTTTAAAACGGGAAACAATTGTTTTTATTTAACAGAAAATTATCCAGTTTTTGTTTGTTTAACTGGTTTGTAATGAAAGTTATTTAAAGCTTTCAGGGATTTTAAAAAGATTTATTTGTATATTTTGTTGTTTTCTGCTGATATTTATTTGTAACTCTTTGATTGACAGGTGACATGATTATTTTCATATTTATACAGGAAGTGGAAGTTTGTGGGTGTGTTCAGAATGAATGTACAGTATTTTTTTATTGTAATTAAAATCAGATTAATATTCTCGCCAGGGGGCGGAGCCTCTGATTTCTTCTTCTGGTCAAACGGATGAAATTATTTTGTTCTACTTTGATATAAATTAATTATTTTCACGAGAGCTCCAACTTCCTGTACTTTAAAAACAACCTGGACGTCACAGTCAACGTCTTACCTGCAGCAGCAGCTGAAGCACTTCCTTCAGAGTTTAAGGGAAATGACGTAAAAACATCAAAGTGTTTTCATGAACTGCGTTCAGTCCTTTGATCTGCCTCGCTCATCTGCAGCAGGTAAGATACTACCGGCTCAGAACTTTTGCACACAGACCTACTTCAGAACGTCCGAACTGTCCCTTTAAAGTAGCACCAGCAGCTTACCGGCCTCGAGACCTTTTATTGATCAGAACCTCAGAGGTTCTACAGGATGAAGCATCCGGGTCGGGCTCAGAAACTTCTCAAACATCTTTAATGTGAACTTTGGGTCCTGGATCATCAGAACCAACATCATCTGCAAAGGTTTTGATCCAGAACTCGTGTTTTTATACATTGAGTGAAAACTCCTCTGGACCAAGAGGACCGGATCAGAACCTTTGCACAGAACGGGCCCAACAACTGCTGTTAGAAAAATAAATAATCAGAACCGAAGTGTCCGTCACATCTATGGGTTTCTGTTCTGTCCCACGAGAGCTGATCCAGAACCCTCCATGGACCCACAGTGTTCTAGGACGAGGCGGGGGTGGAGGGGGGTCCAAAGTTCAGGTCTCGGCTCATCAGGTTCTCCTCCACGTTCTCCAGAGCCCACTTGTGGTTCACAACCTCCAGCGCCTCCCACTCGCTCTGAAAACAAACAAACAAACAAAGATAAACAATTTGTCGGGTTCTGTTTTTACTGACTGACCCGGTTCTGGTGTCGGACCTTGAAGGCTTTGTTTGGGTCGGGGGGCATCGCCATGGCAGCGCCGGTCATCTGGTCCTGCATGACCCGGGACTGGTCGGCAGCTGGACTCAAACACAGAACACAAATGGACCGGGCCTCGGTCAGAACCAGCCTGGGTTCATCAGATGGACGTCAACTGGTTCTGATCCAAAGGCCCGGTCCGTGCAAACCGGGCTTCACTCGTTAATAAAACTGAACAGTGTTCAGGGTTTGAGTCTCGGTACTGTCTCAGAACCAGAACCAGGTCCAACTCACCGTTGTCCTGACCCAGGATCAGCCCGTACATGCTCCGGAGTCCAAACACGTTCAGGAAGTACCAGGAGGCGGAGCTTACCCTGCACACAGGAAACACAGGACAAGGTTCTGTTCACAGCCGAACCCGCTCCAAACACCAGAACTACTTCCTCCTCCAGCAGGAAGCTGATCTGGAATCAGAGCCAGACTCTTATTTTGAAACTCCAGGTTTGAATCACTTCCTGTTTAAATCGTTCTGCAAGTTCTGTTCAGAACCAAAACGCTCCGGTTCTACAGGTTCTGTTGATGGAAGAACAGAACCTCCATTTGATTAAATCTGTCATGTCACTTCCTGCTTCTGGATGTCACTGGTTGCCATGGTGACCAGGACACAGCAACACTTCAGGCAGAACCGCAGAGTAAAAAGTAAGCCTCAGACAAAGAGTCTGCGTGAAAACTGGAAGTCGGCTCAAAGAACTTGAAGGTTCTGATGGTACCGCCGGTTCTGTTTGATGGTTCTACAGAGTTTATGGAAACAGAACCTTGACTTCCTGTTTGGAAGCTCAGACACGATGGAGGTCAACGGGAGTCTGACCTCTGACAGGACACAGTCCTGCAGCAGAGACACTGAGGGGACGAAGACAGAGAGACGACTGGAGGACAGACTGAAGACAGAGACAATCTGAGGAGACGGAGACAGAAGACAGGAGGACAGACTGGAGGAGAGGACGATTGTAAGTTTTGTCGTTGTCCGTACTGACACAGCTGTGAAAAGTGTCCAACCTGAAGTGTCTCTTTCTGCTTCTCTGTGGACATTTTTCAGTTTTTGTGAGTTTTGTCTCCGTCCTTCGAAGTTCTGTCCCCGAGCTTCTCGCTCTGTCCTTCAGGTTCTTACCAGGAGGCGTCGAGCGTCAGCAGGTCGACTCCTCGCTGCAGCATCGGCTTGAACCTCAGAGTCAGAGGAAACGGAACCTTCGCTGGAGACAAACAGGAAGTTTCAGTTTGGACAACAGGAAGTTTCAGTTTGGACAACAGGAAGTTTCAGTTTGGACAAC